AAAGAAATGATGAGTATGTAGAGAACCCCTGGTACGTGTACCGTGTTGGTTTGATGTACATGCAGAGGTAACATGGGAACATTTGTGATGATGTATATATACATGGGCAGCACATTTCTTCTCTGTTTTTCTCATATATTGTGGTTGGGTTGAAGAAGAACTTTGGCTTTTGTCAGACTGCAAGTGTTGCTATATTCCAGCGGCATTCTCACCTCTCCAGTCTGATTCTGTTGCCATGGCCCCAGCGCTGATCAACGAGTCAGTCAGGTTGCGTTAAAAGGAACAGCTCAGGTTTGTGACACCAATTACCGTTCTGCACAGAATACTGCCAACATTTCTGCAGGTTATTTCACCAATTACTTTCATTCCTGGGCATTTAAGAGTTGTTCCTCTGCTCCTGTATTTATGCCAGGTTTCAAAGGGTGATACTTTGCGAGCAGAAGACCTCCTGCTTCCAGCCTCCTTTTTCTTTTTCCAGTGCTGAAGACACTGATTTTAAAGAAAAAAATCTGAAACAGTGTCCCAGATTCTTTTCCTTTTGGAATAAACTATCTGGCTGATAGGGAACCTCCCACTGGCTTGTTATGGTGAGTGAGTGTCTCTTCTTTCCCCCCTTTTATTGTGATTATATCAGTTCAGCGCACACGTATCGAGACTGAAACTTCAAGAGCTCACGCTTGAAAAAAGTACTGAGTCGTGCTGTTTCCCTCTGCACTTTTTTTCCTGCGTGCGCGGGATGTGTGCACTGTAGGCAAGGCTCAGAGAATACAGTAAACTTACACTGTCAAAATTGTGCAAAGAGGAAACTGGGGAGAAACAGCAGAGCAGGAGCAGTGGTCCCTGAAGGATGCTGCTTTCGGCACTGCTGGGCATCCTGAGCAAGGAAGGAGCCCCGGGGCTCTCGTCCCTGCTTTCGCAGCCGCTGAGGAACGGCAGCGCTTTGCAGAGAAGCTCAAGGAGTGAAGAAAACCCTCCAGCTGCTACGTGTTTGTTTCAGTTCCCAGAGATGGTGCACAAACACACAGGGAATGTGTGTCAGGAAACTACACTCAAGATTCAAGGCCTGACTCTGCTTACAAAACACAAAGTTAAAGTTGATTTTTTCTTACCATCAGCTTTGCTTCCCTCTTCCATCAAGAGCTTTGTGATGTTGAGGAAGCCTTTGGCAGAGGCCAGGTGGAGAGGTCTGTCTCCAACCTCCCCACTTGCATTCACATCGGCTCCGAACTTGAGTAAGAGGTGGGTTACCTAAATATTTCAGCAAGGCTAGTTAAAGCATCACATGAAAACAAACCTTTTGACAAAATCAGATAGAATATTGCATTGGGTAGCAACAGATGTCGGTATCTCTTCAAAGGAGGAGGTTCAATAGAAATTTCATTTTTAAGCCACATATCCATAAAACCATTCAGATTCTCAAAAGCAAGTGCTCATTCATTCTCTAAAATATTATGTAAGGGATAGACACAAGACTCGTATTTGTTTAACTGACCAGTCAGCATAATAAAGCAAATGCCCTCAAAGTCCACAAATGCCAGAGCCTCAGCTTCCCTCCTGAGCGGTGTCTCTTCCCACAAGAGCACCGTGTGTGCTTTGAGCAGCATGTCCCAAGACTGTGACTATCTGTTCAGAAGTGGCTCATGGCAAATAAGCAAATTCATCTCCCAGCCCAGCATGCAAGGTTTTTCTTGGTGTTACTGGACGATGAGGCACACACATATGAAAAGAAGGAAGACATCTGTGGCTCACACCCTTGCTCTCACCCCACCACAAGTGGAGCGTTTGCAATCATCCGTGCATCTGGGCTCGGCTCTTTCAAGAGCTCTGCCTACAGCAGCTCCCCAGCGCACTCAAAGGAACATGTCACTGAAATGAAAAATACACTCTACCTAGAGGTCATCCTTTGAAACTTGAAAATATCCTGGAATACATGCTTTTAGCCAAAGAAACGTGTAGAGAATGACCTGCATAAGCCCAAACAGACCCGTTATTACATTTCACACAAAAGGGCTATTCAGGGCCAACGACCGGACTGCTGGATTAACTGGATGTCAAATATGCTTTAGGAAAAGAAAGAGCATTGGGAGGTTCGGTGCCAGCTTTGGTCAGAACTTCAGCTTATGCTTCAGTAAGTCCGTGATCCATGTGAGCGAAGCAAGCGCGGCTGGACGCGTCATGGGCACAGTGCTCCGTGGAAAACCCTGCTCTCTAAAGGATCCCTTCACTTAAAAGCAGCCACAGTTTGCTTTGTGAATTTCGAGGAAAAGCAATGGAATTGCCATTTAATTATTACTGGGAAGTGATGTTCACTGCCTTGGAAAGGTGTTAGAATGTGTACTCACATCCCTTACGTTATCTCCAAAATGTGGGATGAATAAACATCCAGGGAAACACGCCTCTGGGTGCAAGACTTTTTACAGGTTATCAAAGCTAGTGAGACAATCAAGAGGTCTAGAGGGGAAGACAGAAATTTTTGCTGGGGTCTAGCACAGAGGATCAAAGTGTGTAACTTTCCTGTTCATGTTCAGACTCTTGGAGCAACCAGAGACTGACTTGGAAGCGTAACTTCGGCATGTGATGCCTTTCCATGGCAGGACCCTCTGGAATGTAGAGCAAAACTATCCAACACTAAATGTAGAGCTGCCTCTGCCTCGGTGCTCCACCTCTCTGCTTTCTGGAATTCCCCCATGTCCTTACCTGTTCCTGGCCGTAATAGGCAGCAATATGCAGTGGGGTGAAAAAAACCGCATCCTGAACATTCACATAGGCTCCGTGCTGCAAAAGAATGTCAACAGCCTCGGGGAAACAAAGAGAAAACTCCGGTTAGAAGCACACTACAGATGTGGTCAGCTAGTAAAACAAGATTCCAAAATGATGCATCACCAGTTCAAAAAAAAAAAAAAAAAAAAAAAAGAAAAAGCAAAAAGCCCCAAACAAGTGAGCTGTAAAGGTGAGGAGCTGTGTACAACCCGTAAAAGTGATTAACTCCCAGTACTGTAACTGAACGCTGAATGTCACTGGTGCTTTATAAATAAGCCTGAAAGTGTGTTTGCCAGTAAAAAGACTGATTTACGAACTAAAAGGCACAGAAATGACTGTTTGGAATTTCTCAGAGTAACCTTTAATTTTCTTTTAACCATTATGAACAAAGTGCAGTAAACATATCTGAGCTTTTAGAAGTAAAAAAGAAAAAACCTGAATGAAAGATCTTTTGAAATGTAAATGTGTGAAGGTAAATCCTCAAGCCCAGTTCCCTCAGTGTGTAAAGATTTCTTTGTATTTTAGAAGATAATAGCCCTTTGGCTTCAATAAATAACCCTAATTGTTTTATTTCAAATTTCCCCTTTTTTGGTATTTCAGGAGGCCAGTGTTTCCTGGGCAGCTATGAATTATCACACATTGGCTTTCTGAATAACTGTCAGAATAGAAGTCTGAAGGAGACCACGTTGGATTATACACTGAAGCCGAAGGGCTGCTGATTTCTGGAAGCACAAGGGAGCCTCTATACACACTGAGGGGCTTTTGCTATGGATTATTTGAGTAGTTCTACGTATCATTTTGAAGCATGTTAATTTTTGCAGCTAATGGTGATGGAGGATGCTGTACCGCCAACCACCCACAGCACAGCCAGGCACCGGGGACACCTCCCTGGCAATGGGGAGCAATGACAAGGGGACACGGGCAGCTCGGATGCTGCGGGGTTTGTACCTGCACCTCCCCACCGGGGCTCCGCCGGTGACACCCATCAGCACGGGCTGCGAGATGCACGTTGCTGCCAAGGGCAGTCCGGGCTGAGCCCACCAAACCTCTGCACACACGCAACAGCGGGGCCAGGCATTCAAACCCACGTCACTCCGAGTACTCAGAGGATGGAGACCTGTTACCAGGCAACACTGGTGCACAGGGATTATTTCTTTATACAAGTTAAACTGAAATGCATTGTTTTCCATGAGACTGTCTGAATGCCTCCTCTGTGTAAGGTCCATTCCCTGACACACCCCGGTGTGTCTGTTTCCTGCTGGTTTTAACCGTTTCACCAGGGTATCAGCTGTCAGCACCCCGGGAAGCAGCGTTCAGGGACAATCCTGTCTCTCCAGAACCCAAGGCTTCAACAGGTCCAGCATGGTACCGGAGGCACCCAGGTGATGCAAGGACTAAGCCACTCTGCTGGCGACAGGCTGGAGGAGGGGGGATCGCTGTGTTCCTGTGGAATTGCTCTTTAGCACCTCTCTGAATGCCAATGATGGGAAATGGTCGCCATCTGTGCCAACATTATTTTCCAGAAGCTAGAAGTCATAACCAATCTTTAATTCAAAACAACACTTCGAACACTTTGAACGATACTCTTTGTTATTTTTCCGAAAACTCTCTTATGAAAGGCTTATTCAGAATCTTTTTGAACATTCAAGTCAATTAGGTTCACTTCAAAGACAACTAATTAAGTCCTGATGAAGGTTAGAAGGAGTCAACAAAATAAAATACAAGACAGATTACATAAGGACTTTGTCTTTTGGACAAGGGCAAGGGATAAGAAATCCTCTAAGAAAATAAAATCAATGATTATTGACTTTTCAGCAGGTAAAATTTAAATGAGAAGACAACTTCAACACTTACCGTCTTTGCACCAGTGCGAGCCTCTGTACAGCCTTACACGAAAATATCTAACAATCTATCATGATTTTCAGAGTTCCTTTATTAAGTGATTAAAATAAAAATACGATTAGTGGCAAACATTTGCCTAATTCCCTCCAATCTAGCAAATGTAGACATGATCAGTCATGTCCTGCAAAGTCTCTTTGCATTAAATGATTACAACTCCTAGCTCCCCGCGTGTCTGTAGGAATTTCAGAACAAGCTCTACCAGAGAGAATTAAGAAATTGCTAAAGGGGGTTCTGAATGCTTCAAATACATCTTGCTGATGAATGTGCAATTAATTGTCTTTCTTAGGACAAGGTCTACTGAAATATTTAATATATGCTCTTCTGTAAGGCATGAGGACAGGCATCAGAGCAGCAATGAGCTTTCGCCCATTCTTTTATCTTGGCTGTTCCAATCAGATGAAACACAGGCCACAGATAAATCATTAATGAAAGACGCAGGTGCTGATGTCTGGAAATAGAATCCTCTCCCCAGGATGGCTTTTGTTGCAGGGTAGCCACTAGAAATAGCTCATGAATCCCAAACTCGTCGGTTACAGTCCTCTCTGTCACGGGTTGACCCTCAGGCACGTTCCGAGGGTCTTTGATTCCCCGTTTTCCTGCAGCGTGTGCAGTCACGTATGTTGATGCCACACGGATACCGTCGCCGCACTCCTGCTTCTGGAATGACTCTGGAAAGGTCTGAAAATTTGGTTCAGGATGAGACACAGGGCTGGGAAGATGCAGCACTGGCATGAGGTGCAGGGAGTCAAGGAAGAGAACGGGGACTCGGTGAACCGTTTGAACAGGCTCACATAAATGGGATTCTTCAAGGCTTCTTAAATCCTTTGAACTCCCTCCTGTTACTAGTAAAATCCCAGTGAAGAGAGGAGGTGACAGACATCCTGATGTAACACGCGACTTGTAAACACAAAGGGACTTATTACCGCAGAGAATCCATAAGATGAGACCAACTCCCTTTTCCCCAGCAGGTCCTTGCTACAAACACGTCCACACTCCAGATTCTCAGTTTGCAGATGAACCAGCACTGGGTCATCCTGCCTGGGACCCCCGCTCCAGTTCACACCTCTGTGGATGCTGCAATCTCAGAACGACAACTTCAATTTATAAAATGAAATGGGCCATGATTCTGGTTTTCCAGCACGGTTGACACTGGACAACACAGGAATGTGCACGAGGCACCTGCATTATTGATTTAGCAATGACCTCCCTGGGCTGGAGACATTTCAAAAGAGCAGACTTAACGAGAGGTTTATTAAGCTTATTGGGTGATGTTTCTAATATGGTCATCAGCTTTTTTTATAATTTTTCATTATTTCATTAATTTTTCATTCTTCCCCTTGAGAACTTCAGTTTCCATTAACAGATAAAATAAGCAAACAGCATAGCTTTGGTGAAGTAAGATGCATAGAGCAGATGAAATATTTATACACCGCACCGGCTCAAAGGAGCTGGGACATTCCATTGGAGCTGATCGCCTTCAGTGTCCGAATCTCAGAGAACTGATCACTCCGGTGGTTTCAGGCGGGGTGACGGAGCAAAAGCCATAGATGGACCAGGGAAGTGGGGAACAAAGCAATTTCCCCCCAGCTCTCTCTCTCTTTCTCTTAAATATAGTCAGTCCTCTTCTGCAGCAAGAGATCACGTTGCACAGGTTGCTGTGTACACCTCTGCTGTTCGTTTATTTAATGGTATAATTATTTATCTTACTGGAACTAGGAAGATGACCAAAAATCTGTTTTCTCACTCTTAAATTTATTCTATTTTTCAGGGGGTTGTAAAAGTTATTCCCTATTTCCATGACAATTAATGAAGCTGTGGACAAAATAAGCTATTTAATCTAGCAGAGGAGCTTCTGAGCTGACCGGAAATTTCAGAGCTACATGAAGAAGCAAAGAAAAAGCTTGCACTGGGGCTGTAAATCTTCAATCCCCAGACCAGCAGATGAACCAAAGGAGTTTATAGAGTCCCACTCCACTGATGGAGAATGCTTCTGATAAAGATCTGATCATTCCCCAGGAAGAAATAAGGGGCATTTCAAAATGCTCACCATAAGTTATTTCTTATCACGGTAATGGTCTTACTCTTGTCAGATTCTGAGCACTCCTCTTTTTCCATAACCTCAGCAGGAGCTGAAGCCATGAGACACATACCAGGGCTGACTTTGGCATTTGCAAGACAAGGCCCAGACAATTTTAAAAATTACCTGAAACCCAACGCAGAGAAGAGTGTTTTGTATTTCCCCCAGAGGAAACATTCAATAGGTACTTCATGAAAGTGAAAAAGACGATGAAAGAGTTAAGAATCCGGTTGATGTCCCATTGCCATTCAAACAGTCAGGTATGGTGGCTCCTGCTCTGCTTTATAGTTACAGGATACACAGGGATTTCCAGTAAGCTAATTAAAAACATGTATGTGTGCTGGAGGGGAACGTCAGGATGCCTCTGAGCTCGGGATGTAACGCCAGAGCGCAGACACCCCGTCCCACTCGCGCTCAGCCCCGCTTTGGGCAGACACACGGAGGAGCCTCGTTCCCCCACCTGCAGCGCTGACCTCCAGCTCACAGACGGTTCCCTCGCTTGGTGAGCGTGCGCGAGGATGCTGCAGATCGATTCGTCCCCGATCGCGGCTGGAGGGGCTGACACACCGCAGGCTGGCAGCTTTGTAATTGAGCTCCTTGGTGCGACCACCCGCAGGCTGTTTTCACCTTCCTCCAGCCTGACCTTCCTGACGCACACAGAGATTGTCTCGGTGACACGAGGTTGTCACCAGCTCTGCCTCTGTGCATCCAGGCTTTGACAAGAGGCACAAACATACCTGTTGGGTTTAAATCATTTTGGTACACACACACACATATACTTTTAAATGTACACACAGGTGAGGGATAGACGTATGATATATGTATAGCCTTCAGAGGGCGAAACCAGGTAACGTGTGTCTCCATTAGAAATGGGGGGAACACTGACACAACGTCTCCCTCCCATGGGACCTACCATGTACTCATCACAATAATTAGCAATAAAGCAGTTGCTCCAGTGAATCTCTGCCTCTCTCACGCTCACAGCCAGGCAGCCTCGTGCAGACAAGCTATGGCAGAAAGTTCACTAAGGGTGCACAAGCTGTTCAGAGCTGTGTTTGCGAAGCGTGGCTGGTCTCTCCCAGGGACTGCTCTACTCTTGGGATCATTGTTTGCATCAGTGCCCACAGACTCCACAGAAATTTCAGCCTTGCAACGAGTACCGTGGTGTCAAGCACTGTCTCTGTACATACGTGCAGTTAGTGCACAAGGTGAAATACTCGAAGATATCAAGTGCAAAAACTCGCAAAGGTGCCTAGTGCCATTTTCAAAAGCTTCAAAGTAATTCAGATATGTGATTAACTTAATTGGAAATTAAAATCCTGACTGCAAATTCCAATAGAGAGCTACTGGCATCTTTGAAAGCCTAAATAAAATAGAAAATCTGGCATATAGTTACTGACCCAGAGATCTGATAATTTCTTCAGAAACAATAAGTCAAAGAAAGTCTGAACTGTGTAAACAAAGAAGCATCTCCTTTCCTCAGCTGAACCTCAGTGGGTAGGCTCTTAGTTTCTCAGACCAGGCATTCAAATGTGGGCAGATTTATTGAGATAGTATGGAAAATTTCTAAAGATTTATCAATTCCCCAACAAAAATGCCTGTTTGAAAATAAGTGTCTGTTCTCACTTTCAGTATACACCTAACTATGCAACTATTTCTACTGCATACATATAGTGACCAGTGTGTGTGTGTGTGTGTGTACAAGGTGATGGACGGGAAATGTGGCAGGGAGATGCCTGCACGCCCAGTGACTGCTGTAACTTGGGAGCTCATGGGACATGTGTTTCTTCCTGCTACGCGCATACACAGAGGTTCTTCTTTCTGCTGAAAACTGCGCTCAGCTTTGTCCTGGTCATCCAGCCAAACTCTTACATTTGAATTTATAAGTCTAAGATGCACAACTAAACTCACAGCTTGAAGGCAAGTATTCATATCACCTGTATCTTCTCCTTTGTCTTTAGTTATTTTTTCTTGCATTTCTTGCTGATGATCTCTCTTTAAAGAACTCTGATGTCTCTGTCTCCATAGGTTAATCCAGCACTCTGTGTAAGTTAAAACCTTCACTCAGGCAGAGGACAAAATCTTTGCATGCTTAATGGACCCCAAGGAGATAAAAAGCGAAGCAGCTGAATGCACAAGCACCTTTACAGCCATAAACCCTTCATTACCAAGGTAATTTCCCACACCCAGTACTTTAAGAGATTAAAATAAATAAATAAAGGACACTGAGTGAGCTGTTGCCAGGGTGACAGAAATGAGATGATGTGTGAAATGACTGAACTGAGGTGGTAAATGATAAGAAAACAGATTCATGACTGACAGCACGTCTAAAAAGGGAAGGACCTGATTATAGGCATCCAGGGAATGCCACCGCTCTCCTCCTTCCTCTGCTCCCCAGAGTGATGTCTCCAACCCATCAGTATGGATGTCTGAGAGTCATGCTAGACTTACCCTGACAACAGTTTTCTCTGCACTACTCTGAAGTATAAACCAGCTCCGAACTAAGAACCTCTGTCCCTTTCTGAGATGGAGATCACAGGGCTGTGAAGCAGAGCCCGTGACACCTGGAAGAGGGAATAAAATTCCTTTACTCAGCTTCCTTCCCTCTCAGAAAGATGGTGTTTGGAAGCCTTGCTCTGTATCCAGGCTCAGAAATCCTGACACGTACAAGTGAGCGTGTTGCATCATGTTCCTGTTGGTTAACACTTCTGGTACCTAGAAAACAATGCCACGTATCGCCGAGACGTTAAAGACATTTACATAAAGGTGGGAGATGTACAAACAGAACTGTGCCCTTTGTGCATGCTTGTTCGATGTAAAAATATGAGCACAGGTACGGTTTTCCCCAAATGCACAAAAAATGAAATAAAATTCATCTGTACTTAACCCGTTCTGTTTCAAACGGCATCAATCTAAAATAAACCGACCTGCCGCTACCAGCCCTCACCGAAACCATTCCCGCACCGCGAAGGAGAAGCGTACCTTGTGGTGACCGGCGATGGTGGCGATGTGCAGGGCGGTCAGAGCTCCGTACCCGACCTGCTGGATGTCAGCTCCCCCGTGCAGCAGCGCCGTTAGCAGCTCTGCGCTGTCCTAGAAGGCACGCCGGTGACACTGGTTATTTCTGGGACGGGGCTCAGACAGGGGCAGGGAGGGAGCCGAGGGAGCTGTCTGCGTCCAGACTCCCCGCTACCACCCTGCTGCATCCCATAAGGGACTGGCCATGGCCCCAGGGGCACAGAGGGCAAGGAGGGGACTGGAGGGGCACCAGGAGTCTCTTTCTTGGTATACTAAAGCCCGTATCTTTATAAACAGTCTCTATTCTGATTTCACAATATCTTTAAAGACCCCTCGGTCTCCGAGCCGTTATTAAGTACTCAGACTGTGTTAAATGTCTAAACATTGCAGAACCTAACACAGAGGAAAGTCATCTGGGGCTTTCCCAGGATAAACTCATGGCGTGTACACCAAATTCTGAACTGTGAGCTGATTTTTCGTATTGTTTCACTTCTTTCCTGCCCTGCACACAGATTTTGCTGTGACAGCAGTAATGGGCGCTACCAAGTCACAGTAATAATGAAATGAAATAACTTCTCAGTGAACTTGAGACAGACACGAAGAGCTGTGACGCCCAGGCAATACGACCACCAATAAACTCTACTTTACAAATAGAGAAATTGGACAAGAGATATGGTTTGTTTGGGGCAGTGGCAGGATGCACAGCAGAGAGCAGGCCATCCTCCTCACCATCCCTTGGTCTAACTGCACCGACCAGAACTGTCAGAATTTTCCCTTCTTGGAGATCTGCCTTCCGTCATCATCCCACCCAGAGGTGGGCCTTCTCCAACTCATTTTCAGTGTTTCCTAAGAAGAAATGCCACAACATAGGGGTAAAAGAGATGCTAAAAGCTCCAGCCTTCCTTACTGTTCTCTACCTCTTTGAAGCCCACACTGAAAGAAGTGCGAGAATGACTCGATGCCAGAGAAGCAGCAGTGAAAAAATGTCTGTGAAACATACTGGAATGGTTTTCCTGTTTTCAGGAAATATTAGGGATTTCTCTCTGATAATAATGGACAGTAAATGCCCATATCACTTCTCCTATCAAATAGCTTTATACCTTGAAGCCTGGCACTGGGTTGCATAACGGGTTGGATATTACGCAGCCTGGGAAGATGGGCTGAGGTGGAACCACCTTGCTTTGTTCTGTTGTAATTAGTGGCTCAGGCCAGTTTTCCGAGTTCTGTTTCACTGCTATGAAATGCCACAAAATATTCAGATTATACGTAAGATGAAGTCAAGGAGTTTTACAACTGTCTCAGTATACATGGTGTTGTTGTTTCCAAGGTATCTCTACGCTCATGTATATTTTGCTTAGAAAATAACTGTAATACAACAAAAGCTGCCATTGGGTGACTCATGGTAAATCTGAAAATGTCACTTACAGCAGAAATGTTACATTGAATTTTATTTTACATCCCAAAATACACACTAGTTCTCTTAGTTTTGTGCAACTTGAAAAGTATATTGGATATTGTACCACATGGCCTGAGTGATTAAATAAGTTGCTGATACGGTTCTTTGCCGTGTGCGAGAGATTTATCAGCTTTACAGTGCAGGGAAAACAGACAGAACAAGATTTGATAGCAGAATGAAAACTGTTCCCAAGTAATGAAAACATCCTAGAAATCTGTTATGAAAATCCTATTAAGCAAAGGATTTCTTTTCCTCCTAAATTATTAATTGGAAACCATTCACTGAGATTGACATTAAAGAAAGGCAGCGAAATTCTTCCAGGCAATTGGCTAATTATGCAACATTGTGCATGGGGGAAGTTTTTTTTATGATGGCCATAAACCATCACTTCATCCCATGATGTATAAGATTTGATTATAGCCATCATTTTACAGCTTGCATATCGAACCGGCAGCAGTGCTTGTAAAACCAAACGAACATCGGAATTACAAGACATAGTGCAAGATATATAGCAAGTGCTCCTGTTATAGTAACGAGGAGAGGCAGCTCATGGAGCTAAGCCATGGAGCTGCAGGGCGTAAGGCATCCGCAGCACCACGGCATTCGGGTGTCCAGCTCCGTGAGTCCTCAGCCTGTTTAACGACCAGCCCTCCGCGTACACCTGGGGCAGTGGTTCCAGTGGTGGGGCAGATGAAATCCAGCACCTGGAGCAGGAAATTGGCTTCGCTTGTCCACAGCAAACAGTGGAAACAGGGGCTGTCCTTCTTCCCATAGTCAGACAAAACCACAAGAGCTGCTGCTTGCATCTCTATCTTTCCACCCCTACCCCCTCTACAACAGCCAGAACCTCGCTACACTGGCGGGTCCGCCTCTCCTCC